CATGCATGGCTTTCAAACAGATGGCAGAGTTAATCCCGTGATTAAAGAGGATTTGCAACGCGCTCGAGGCCGGGCCAACCGAACGGGACGTTCTTTCGAAACGATCGCATTAATCACTTGTCAGGACCCGTTTCTTTTTTCTTTTTTGTTTCTTACGAAAACTCGAAAACAATGAGTGCAAATCCGCTGGAAATATACTTGTTTATTATTCCGTACTTGTTTATTATGCCTGTGTCGAGTCTCGTTCGCAGGAAATTTTGGCATCGCGCCATTGTTGTAATGTTGTTCACGATCCAGTGGCAAAGAGACGGGGGAGAAAAGTGTGCCGAGATGTTATAGGACGATGCAAAATATCAATGCCAACCGCTACTACCTACGGACATTCTAAGGAAATGAAGTGTCTTATTTGTAAAGCCCGATAGACGCTGTATTCAACAGCAAATAAGGGTATAAAAGGACAATGCTTTCAATGCTGTGTGACACGACTTCTTTGACGATATGTGCGTTCCGAAATGAAATTTCTCCTGTGCTGAACGTGCAGCAAGTATCACAGCGTATACTCGCCCGGGCAATAGATAGGAGATTTAACAGAGATTCCACAGAGACAATGGACCACGATAGATCGTTCAAGAATAATTGTATACCATAATTATCCAACAGTTGGAACAAACGCGACTTGTGTTATTTATATCATTTATTAAACGAACAAACTTTTATCGCCAATGGTGGCCTATTCTATTAATAGAGGTCTTACCTTAGAGCGCGTTGTGTGGTCTTCATTTCTGGGTGTTTCCTTGCGAATTCTTCTGAACCGATCCTCTTAGCGTCGATCCATCGATTTCGGTTTCGGCGTCGATGCGGACCTGGGTTGAAACAAAAACGCAAACGCACAAAAGGGCAGAGAACACTAACTTGAATATCTGCGTTTGATTTGACCTGTACGATTCCAATCGCACCGTAGTATCCTTCGCGCGAATCGATTCGCAAGCGAAGCAACCTTGATCGAATTCACCGGTCAGTAAATCGAACGTAAACGTTTGAACGCGATCGGAACGAAGTAGCAAAGATAACGAAGAGCACAAGATTGGGCACTTTAAACGATTTTTT